ATACTTTCCTGACTGTGTTTCAATTCCAAATCAAAATCAATTCCTGGGCTTCAGTCATTTATTGTCTATTTATCAATTAAAATACGTTTCGGTGTATTTGGAGTGACTCCAAATATATGCCAAGGCTTAAAGTAGCAACAACGCTACACATAGAAACTGATGATGGTGGAAAACACCGAAACGTATTTTTATTTTTTTAATAAAAATAAATTTTTGTCCAACACTGCTTTGCATTTAAAATTCGTTCTTGCATTCTTTTTAAAAGCAGTTTGCAAAATTCTCATGGCCACATGCTTCCAAATTTTTTATCTCCTCTAATAATCGAAAAAATAATTTGCATCTAAAGCCATTCCAAGAAAATAGCACATTTCTTTACACTTTAAACAATGTTAACAGTTGGTTTCTATTTGATATAAAGGTTTTAATTGGCGACAAGCCAATAGACGACACTTCCGATCTATCCGATGTGGGATCAGATTGCGAAGAAGCGATCCAACCGACCACAACGCATACGCTATTAGTTCAATCGAAAAACATTATAGGAGGTGGAGGCGGAGGCAAAGCCAATGTGGAAGCTACTGATAATGGCGATCTTCTGAGCGAATCGTCGACGGATTCTGGTGTCAAGGAAGTGAATGGGAAAGAGCAAAAATCGTTCGATACTGCTGAAGCATTGAAAACCGATATTTCCTTGGATGATGATAGTAAGTAGTTTGAAACAGTTTGCTTGGATGGTTAAATACTTTTAATGTTTCTTCCAGACGTTGAAGATTCCTCCTTCCTGTCAGCTTATAGTAATACGGAAAAGGAGGCAGAATATACTGAAAGATTTGCTTCACTACCCAGGCAGATCTTGAAACCTTGTGAAAGCGAACCAAAGTAAGTCAAATTGAATTCATTAAGTCGTTTGATTTTTGAAGGCAAATACAATTGGATTTTTTGCAGCTGCAAACCAGCTGAAATTGAGCCAGTCAATGCAGATTCTGATGAAAATGGTGAATCCTACGAAGCCGACAGCGACTTTGAATTTATTGGTGAGTGATTGGCTGATGGCGCTAAAGAGAAGGAAAAAAAAGGCAGATATTTTAGGAGGCAGCTACACTAAGAAGGAAAAAGAGAAGTGGAGACATGCAGTGGAAATGAAAAACAATCCCTATTCCAAGGAAAGCATTGAGAGCAGGATAAAAAGGTCCAACAGTGCTGCTGGATCAATGTAAGTGTCTATGCAAAAATGTATTGTAAGATGCACTTGCCTAAGTAAAATTTGGATGTTTTGAGGCATAAATTATCAGAATTATTGATAAATGCTTTAAAATTCGAGCGTTGTTTCAAATGCGGGAAAAAATGAAAACATTCAACTCCTGAGAGAAACGAATCTGAAAGCTCCCAATGTGTTTACATGGGTTTAGGAATCGAAAACAGTAGTTTCAAGACTAGAACTTGCTAAAAAGCATCTGTAAAGCAGAATACCGCATTATTTACACGTTCGTTTATATTGTAATATTCGTTTAAAGAAAAATTTTAAATTCTCTGTTCTAATTCTGTGGAGTTTTAATCATTTGATGAAATGGAGGATGGAAACATCGATATCCTCCAACCATATAACTTTAAATCGTTGAGGACTGCAATATTTCTGAGAGAATATATTTTGCTTCAAAAGCACTTAATTGAAGTTCCTGTTACTTCCATCTTCATTGAGCTATGGCTGTTTATTTTACCGAATGTTTTTAGAAACCATTGCGATTGTTATTCACTCAGAATTGAATCAGCAACAATTTCGCAGCCAAAAAAGGGAAGATTTATTGAAAAAAAATATATTAACTGCTCAACAACATAAAGGCTGCGCCACCAATTTTGCAATAGCTGGATCTGGATAACTTCTGATTGCTGCACGCGATTTTATTGCTGTTTGAAGCCTTAAATAGTTAATTTTATTTTCTGTCGGTGTGGGATTTTTCGAAAATGTTGTACTTCAGGTAAACTTTCTACAGGGTGGAGAATGAAACAATGTAAAATTTCTCAAAATTCTTCTAATTGCACCAGCAAACGTTTTTGTCAATTTCAACGCCCGAGGCAGAAATATATCTCGAAACTGTTATGAAATTTGTTGTCCGTCAATTTCATTTACAGGAAAACCAAAAAAATCAACTATTTGGTGTTGCACTGATACAAATTTTCAAAAATCGAAGTTACTCAGATCAAAATTCTAATTCTAACAGTTATTCTAACAATTCGAGTGAAGTTTATTTTCAAACAATCGGTTCACTCATGCCACCATGTATATCGAATTTCTGCCTTAACTTGACTATAAAGGTTCAGCTTGCAGCTATAAAGCTTCAGTGAGCACCAGATTTTGAAAATCGGTCCGAAAACGAAAATTTTATCAGTTCAAGCCGAAAAGTGAATTTGTTGAGACCAGCCTGTAAATAAAAGAGGCAGGCGAAAAATTCAGATTCAGTTTTGAGATATAAGGCGGATCTTTATGCTTTTGATGTTGAAATTCAAAAAACACTTTTTTGTAGCAAGACAAACTTTCAGAGATGCTGCATAGTTTCATTTTCCACCGTGTATAAACTTTAGACAAAGCACACATTTTTTGCAAAAACGCACACCTACAGAAAAAGAACTGATCTACTTAAAGCTTTAAACAGCAATAAAATCGGTTGGAGCAAACAGCAGTTATCCAGTGGCAAAGTTGGTGCAAAGTTTAGGTAATATTGATATCGGTTCTAAGGTTCTAATGGGAACGAGTAGAACGTTCGATCAATTAATCCGAAAAACTTTTCTCAACACAGTGCAAAAAATGATTTAAAGAAATTACAATTTCTAGAAAAATCGCCACATTTTCAGTTGAATAACTTTCACTTTGCTTTTGATAAACCGTTATTTACAGGAATTTTAAGATTGAAGAATTTAAGAATTGAATCAAAGAATCGGTCCTTTTGTATTGAAGTTTGTAATTCTTTGCATTTTTCAAGCCTTTTCAAGGCTTCAAAGGTACATTTGGCCAAATGCACATTTGAAGGCTTGAAAAAGATAAAAAATTACACACTTCAATACAAAAGGACCGATTCTGTTATTCCATCCAGTGTGCACACACACAGTCCTATTATTATTAAGAATTGAAGTTTTTCATTGAAGAATTCAATTCAAATTCAAGAATTGGAAAAAATCATGATGTTGACCACAGAAAAAAACCGATATTGCATCCAAAGAGCAAAACATTGGTTCTCCTCATTAAATGTGCCTCTCACAAATCCCCCTTCATTTGAAACTTCTTTTAATACTCTGAAAGCCGTTTTGAGTGGAAGATTAAGAGGACAATACTGTAATCCATCCACGGAAGGTTGAGTACACATATCAAATAAATTAACCAATTGCATTTAATACCCAAGCCATTGAAAATGTTAATCTTATAGCCGATTCTGCATCAACGGTTTTTCTTAGAACATTGGCAGAAATCTGCTCATGTTCCAACACCAGTTGCTTGAAAAGTATTCACTTATGACAAGCATATATTTTGTTCATACAAGATATACAGGAGTGTTTACAACATTAGAGCAACATCCTATTTTGGGACGATGATTTTCAAAGGTTTCGCTCAGACTAGAGAGTTGCACCCAGAAGATTGCTGATTATTGGCTTATCGCATAACTTAACAATGGTAATCCTTCCAAGATTAACTTGGCTGTCGAGTAAGATGGAAAATGTTTAAAGAAAATATAATGGTGTCATTGTTTGCGATTGACTCTACACGTAGACACTTCAATGGTATTGACTACATCAAAATGTAGCTGATGCTAATCTATTGCCAGTGGTGGATAAGCCGCTTTCCCTTATGAATTAAGTCGCTAATTCGTCAAATGTTCGAAATATACATAAGACTTTTATCTAAACTGTGCATTTTATATGATCAACAATAAAACCCCTTTGGGTAATAAAACACAATTTGCATCAGATTAGGCGCATTATAGCATGTACATATTTTTTCACATGATATGTTCATGTGAACGCCAATGCTTCAACCATAACATATCACGATAGCATATGTGAGCGCGATTTAGACAACCGAATTTCACAATTTTTGAAATTTTTTAATTGATTTTTACAATAAGTCATTGAAGATAAGATTAAACGGGCGATGAGCATGACGATTGTAATTTAAATCACTATTGGCAGATTCAATTTCGCGGTCAGAACAATACAGGAAAACAAGACTAAATTGGTGTTGAAAAAAAGAAATAAAGGGTGCGGATTTAAGTGATCATGTCCAAAACACTAGTGGAAGTTTTTTCGCATGAGACGAAGAATCGTAATAGGCCGCACATGTAAGTGCATTGTTATTGTCTTTTTTAATACAATTTTTAGGTCATTTATATCTTCAAATTCTACTAATCTTGACCGTTAAGCACAGGAAAAAACACTATTTTCATTCTTCTTTCAAATAAGGATTGTCGCATTTTGTACTTCTCTTGGTTCGGGAATTTATTAAAAAAAAACAATCATAAGCGTTTATCAACTTTATAATTCCCGTTAATGTCAATAACAAATAAATATAAAGAGACAACATAGAAATAGACAAAAAGAGACAAGTGGGAGATTAAAATAGAAACACTCCTAACAGAAGACTCACAATTGAAGACAAATAATAAACTCAGTAAAAAACCGGTGTGCAATGGTGGAAAGGATAAATTGATTTTCAATTTGCATTTTCCACAGAAGAAAACACAGCAAAGCGCCAAAAGTGGCCTTGCGGAAACTTCCACACTAAATCGTGTTTAAAGACAACAGTTGTAACTAGAAAGTGTCGACTTTTCAGCCGTGCCGAACTCTTCGTGTAAACACTGGTTTGGACGCAAGAAAACACAAAAAACTGTTCACTTTTTGTCATCCAGTCCGTGTCGTGCCCGAAGGGCTCGGCATAACTTTCAATGGCAAATTTGCAACTTTAAACAAAAACAGACGTGACAGAAAAATAGAAAAAAATCATTTTATAATAGTCATATATTTTAATAGCAAATAAATACAAGAAAACAAGATAGAAATAGAAGAAAAGAGCCAAGTGGGCAATTCAGATAGAAACACTCCCAACAGATTACTCGCAATTCAGGAAAAATGATAAACTCAGTAAGAGATCGGTTTTAAGTGGTTTGAAGGACAAATTGAGCAAATCTGATAACAATAGCAAATAAGCGGGCAGTTTGAAAAAATCACTGCCATGGGAAAAAACTTTGAACCCAAATTGAACAGTTTAAGTGAAAATTGAAAAAACAATGTATCTGCCTCTTAAAACTTCCAGATTAAACGCTGTTTGCTCTTATATTCATTTTAACTTCACCTATATTCATTTCTACCTATATTCATTTTAATCTTCAATTTGACTCATTTGGTTTTAAGGAAAAAATTACAAACAATTACCCACAATTTTTTGTTGTCTAATAATTCAATTTCTTCTGACATTGAACATGTTCAACCTAGAAATCAACTGTTGTTGCAGATTTGGTCCAGACTACTATGCCAGACTAGCAAGCAAACCATCTGGAGGTGGAAGAAATGCCCAGGTAAGTCTAGCGAACCATATAAACCACCTGGAAGAAATCTCCACCTACTCCAGTTTACCCAGAAGTTTATACTCCCCTAAAAATTCCAGTAGAAACTTCGTACAAAATCCTCTACTACTTTTTCCTGAAAGTCCCAATTAACTGGGGGGTAGGATCAGACAAACGTTTCGTAGATTCTATTAAAAGGGCTTTAACCAGCTTATTTATAACTTTATTTTCCATTAGACTTAGCGCACAGCTACCTGTTACTGTTACGAAATAAACCGTTGGATCTGGTTGTTTTGTGTTTTGTTTTTGGTCTCATTCTTTCACCTTCTACTGGTTAGCATGGGAAAATTTTAATTTTCATCGTTGCACTTGCAAATGGATTGTGCATGAAATGTTTGGAATGCGATTCGAATTGTGTAAGTAAAAGGTGAAGGGGTTTTGGTCGATGTTGTATCAATAAAAGTTACTAAACTTAATGAATGTTCGGTTTACTAATAATTTACTGTGCATGCATGAACTGGGTTTTGTTAAGCTGTGGTTTGCGCAAAATGTTTCCCATTGAAAGAATAAGTAAAAGAAATGAAACTGCTGCAAAGGAAGTTAAAAATCATCGTTCTTCAAATTTATTTCGACGTCAGTTTTTTTCAGACAATATTCAGTAACTTGCTTCTAAAGGMCTTAAAGTTAGATGAATAACWGATGCATCTGTTAAGATAATATGGGACTAATTCAGATTCATGGACAYAAGAAACACCTCAATTTTTGGCGTTTATGCAGCTTGCTTTTAATCGATTYTTATAAGAAAATAACCAATATAATAATTAAGCTGWATACAAAAATTSTAGCGTTTTTATGTATTCTTAATAGTTTTAATTTCATAGTTTAGCAGTTTYRAAATTTAGAACATTAGAACAGAATTTTCTGTGATTTCTYAATGTAAAAATGTCTAGGGGTTTGAAATACCTAATTAACTTTAAGTATTATCAGSCAAAACAAGTGTGATTCCCAATTTGCAAGGGAAAAAATCTACGTCACTTGTTGCATGATATCTCATCTAACTCAATAGATATGATTAAATACCASTTTAACGCCTATTTCCAGATAAAATGCTTATTTAATCGATATTTATAATCAACGTTAAATGGTTGCTTTAGTCTGAAACTAGTGTGTGCCTGTTATTAATGTAAGTCATAGATAATTCGAGTTTTTTGAGTTGTTTTTTCCGGATATTCTCAACTAACCATTTCAACAGTTCTCGACTATTTCACTATTGTTTGTTAGGGTTGAGTTAACTCACTGCCAACAATCCAATGATTCATTTTTTATATCAATATTTGCATAAATGCTAGTCATTCACAACTCGACTTGATGAAGTTGGGCTTTCATCTGCACTTAATATTCTTTATAAAATCCGAAAAATTTGAATTTTTGTGCAATTCGCCAGTAATTATATTTTTACGACAGTTTTAATAATTGTTTACCCTGTGATAAACACTTGAACAATCTTATCATTTTAACAAACCTGTTGTTATATTTGTAGCGCTTCAAGATAAATTGTTCTTATCATTGGCAATTTTCGCGGAAATTTTAAAATTGTTGTTATTCAAAGCTCACCGCGAAATGAAATGAATCTATTATATAACCTATTATAGATCATTTTTATTTTTATTTAGCAACACTTTACTGCTCTTTTAAGAGAGAAACAGTAGAGTGCCAAAMGCAGCATTAAGGAAACTTTAAATYATTTTTAAAGGCCACAGTTGCAGCATTAAAGTGTCGGCTGTGAAGTTGTGCTGAACCTTTCGGAGGCGACACTGATTAAATCACAATGAGTAAAAAACTGGCCGTTTTAGGGTGTTTTCAACATCCGCGAAGGATTTGGCACAACTTTACAAGTTGTGCCGAGCCCTCTGGGCGCAACACTGGATGAAAACGCGCCAAAACAGTTTGAGAGTGTTTTTTGCATCCAAAATAATGTGAATAGCGCACAACTTTCAACTGTCGACTTTGAAGTTGTGCCAGAGCCTTCGGGCACGACACTGGTTTGTACGCAAGAAAACACTTCAAAATACAATTTTTTTACACAGAACTTAGCGATTTGAAAATTTTGAAGTTTGTTGAAAAACGATCTATTTTCTATAAAAACTGCATCTCGGAGAATTGCAATCGGTTAAGGTCGAAAATACGAGTTTGCGAACCAAATGCTTTGAATTAAACCGCGATTAATGTCGCGCATAAACAACGTCGACTTTAAATTATGTTTAAAGATCAAAGTTCCAACGTTAAAGTATTGGCTTTCCAATGTATCAATCAAAATCAATACGATACAATTCAAGTGTGGTTTAAATGCAATAAAACGTTCTTAAACTGCCCAGTTTTTAATGTTTTTTGTGATGTAGCAACTGTCGTATTGATCTCGAAACTTCGCCTTAAAACTGTGTTATGGAAATATAAAATACATATAAATAATATAAACTGGAGATCACAGTTGCTACGTTAAAGTGTGGCTTTTATAGTAGGATTTTTTGGCTTCTGCTGTTCAGTCAGTGTCTCGGCACAACTTTGGCTTTAAATCTTGTTTAAAGGCCAAATTCGTAAGGTTAAAGTGTCGGCTTTAAGATGTACTAAACTTCGTTTATAGCAGCGGTTTGGGTGCAAGAAAACATTCTTAAACTGCCCATTTTCAATGTTGGGATTTCGCCAGTTGGACACAACTTCCACATTAAACTGTGTTTATCGATCAAAGTCGCTTGGTTAAAGTTCGGGATTGAAACAAAAAAAAACTTTAAGCATGCCACTGGGTTGGGAAGCAAGAAAACACCCTTTAACTCCGAAAGGAACTTAAAATACTCCAGTTTTTCGTGTTCTTCCGTCCAACTAGGAGTTGCAAGTCAAAACTATCAAGTTTAAAGTTGTTCTGAGCCCCCTGTGGCTCGACACTGATTTGAACGCAATAAAACCAATTTTTCTTGAAGCGCAAAAATTAGTTGTAGGAGTTCATGATGGACAACCAAATGTGGCTGTTCTAAAGTTTGATGATAAAACATACGAAAATAAAAAACTCAAAAACGATTTTTGAAAAACACGAAGTTTTGATTTAAAATTAACTGGCAAAACCAATATAAGCAAATTAACTTTTAAATATCTGTGAAACTTTACACTAAAAGAGCCCTTAATAGTTATATAAAACTATGTCTAAGTCTAGCTTTTAAAATGTATCATTTTTAAACTTACATTAAACTTTTTTATGCATTTTTATTAGATATGCGGATGCTTATTATGCATGTTTTAAAAAGCATTACTTACGCGCCCACCCAACACCTTCATTAGGATCACTTTGGAATTATAACGCCCGTAATCCGATCATTTCATTGTAACTACTTACATTAAATGTAATACTGATACCCATATCGATTCATGCCATTAAACCTGTGACTAATCCAGCTAACCCCTCGCAGGTAAACGGTGTCGCTTGGCCTTCATCCGAACCATCAAGATCAAGAACTCCAAGTCCCCCGCCTGCTCTTCCCAAAGCAGCTCCCCCATCTCGAGCTCAAATCGTAACCGAAACCAGTCCCTTATCGGACGTGGTTGAAACTCCGGCATCATTTGAAGTTCCTCCGGAGCTTCCAAAAAGCCGCCCCCCTCTTCGGGTAACTGCTGAAGTTGACGGGATTCATCAAGCTTTGAAAGCAATAGTTATCCCATTGGAAGAAATGTCGCAGGCTACTTTCCATAATCATGTCAAAGCGGAGGTTTATAGGGCAGAAAATTCTTCCGCAGTAACTTCCGACTCTGAATTGAGTTTCGTTAACTTTTACGATGTGGAGCATTCGCAGATCGTCAGAAAATCGAAGAACGAAGACATTCATATACCGATTAAAGCGACACCGTTGGGAGTTTCATACAGGCCTATTGAAGATGGCAACGAAACTGTCCATCCTGGTGAGCAACTAGAGAATGGATATGGAGAAGATCACGTGGCTCGATCACGGGTTCTGTTCGGTGAAAATAAAGGGGAAAGCGGAAGTTTCGTAAAAGCTCCTCCAACAGTTAAGGCGCGCAATTTTGGGCAAGAAAGAGTTGCCCTAAGGAGACATTTAAGCGAATCCAGTTTGCTCGACGACTCATTCGATGCTCCCCCAAAAGTGATCCACCCGAAGAAAGATAATACGTTGATTTCCAAAATCTACAAAGACCCCAAAGTGAGGCTGTTTGCTTTGCACAGCCGAGAAGAAACGCCCTCCATGGAAGAGACTTATAATACATCATCCTTTAACAGCCATCGAAGCGTTGAGGCCAAAGAAATCCAAAGCGAAACATCTTCCATATACCTAAGCAAAGAGATATTGCATAGCTCTGATGATGGCTTAACATCGGAATATGACTCTGGAAAGACTGGAAGAATATCATTCTTCAGCTCTGAGGAAGACCTGCTGTCGCTAAACTCCGATTCAAGCCATGTAGTTGATACAAGAAATCACGCCATGGCATCAGGCGAACCACATTTCGATCACTACTACATGGCCAGTCCTCCTGCAACTCCCAGCACGAAGAAATTCATCTACGGATCTCAGGAGGATCTTCTCAGCTTGGAAGAAGTAACATGCATCCGCCCCAGGAAGGATAACACTCTAATTTCCAAGATATACCAAGATCCCAATGTGCGCAACTTCGCCTTGAAAACGCACAAAAACAAGCTTCCAGACTCACTCTCATCCAAACCCAAACAGAGGGAATCGCTCGACCACGCCTTCTCGGTGGAAACTCGTGGAAGAACTTCAAGCCATGCGTCTAGAGCTGCAATTAATTCGTCATCTTCAGCAGAAATTAGCCTGGAGATGCATCCAGAAGAACAGAATGCTGATCCTTCACTTTATGCCCACCAAGTGGACAATGTCGAGCATGAAGCTGTGGACTTGGATGTGGAAGAAATAGCGAAACGGCGTGTGGTTCGTCAGGCTTTAGGCAAATTTCAAAAGTCCGAAATTGAACCCAGGCAGGTTCAAATGCATCGGAATTCGTCGGTTGATGAATCGAATAGCGTCCGAGTTTCAGTACGGGAGTTGAAGAATAAGTTCGAAACCAATGATGTAAGTAAAGTTTTTAGGCGTCAGTTTTTTTTTGAAGCTCATTGAGGCTTGCTTGTTTTTTCAGTTTTTGGACAGTTTTTTAGTGAGTGAGAAAAAGGGCTTATAATCGTAGGTTTACTTCTTTGAAATAATTTTCTGTGCTTGCAAACAAGTACTGTAAATTTCCCACATAAAGAACTCCAATTTCAAATCACCCTGTAATATGAAGTTTAAAAAAAGGTTGATAATATGATCGTAATTTCTTACGAATTAAACTGGTCCCAATAAGTTGAACAAGTACATTTTAAAGATGGATTAATTTTCCTTATTTTTGTAAACCTAGGGAAACTTGAGTTATACCAAAGATTGACAATTTTTTGCGACGCCATATCTATTTCTTTATCACGACGCTCGTTGAACTCGCAACGTATTTTTTTCATTTCCTGAACAATTATCTGGGTTTTGTCGAAGTTTTATTATTTTACTTTTACATTTCTTTACAGGGTATATAATAATCCGTTACATAACATTTTACAGGGTGACTTCTTAATCAAAAAATCCGAAAATACAGCCAGTTAAAGGTGTGTGGTCAATAGATCATCAAACATGAAACTTGTGTTTTTCGGATTTTAGTCGTAATTTTTTTTCTGATGTGAATTTTATAGAGGTGGTTTGCTGGGCGCAGCAGCCACGTTTTGTTAATTTATAACAATTTCATTCAAATGATGATTAATTTCCCGCTTCCTTTTATGTAATTTATTTCATTTTTTTTCTATTCTAAGTAAATACTTTTGCATCAAAATTTCAAATTTCAGTGCTAGAAAATTGATGAGAATTAGAAAAAAGGTACAATAAAAGACACTTCGACAACTCAAATTTTCTTAATGCTAGTCCAAAACTGACATGTTTCGACTCATGCGTTGCCATTTTGAATACTTTTTTTCCACGATTATTTAAGCTAATAATTGTTGTTTTGTGCGTTTTTTCAGAACAATAATAAGCCAGTCGTGTCCAGTTTAACAGCCAGAAGTCTGTCGACACAAGTAAAGGCCGCTTTGAAGCGATGAGGATCAAGTCGTTGATGCCAAATAAAATCAAGAAATTATTATCTTAAGCATACTAAAAGGTGCCTTTAAGAGGAGAGTTTTATTGAAAAAATGTATATTTATGTTATTTAATTTTATTAGTAATGAATAAAGTCAGTTATTGTAAGTAAATGTATAATTAAATTTGTTAAATAAATATTATTTTTTACATGAAAACTGTGGCTCTTAAATTCCATTGTTAGCGTTGTTTATATAATGTAGTTTAACTTGAAAATCAGTCAAAAAACTCTGTTTTAAAGCAATACGATGAACTTCAACTATCATTTCGGATGTGGCTTTTCTTAAGCTTAGTGAAATATGATCTGGGCAGAAATTATACTGATTATTCATTTAATTCAATTTCTCAACTTACGGCAACAATAGAAAAATGTCGAGAATTCAATATTCTATTGCTGTAGTGTTTCTTGGATTACTAAAAGGCTTTAACTAACGTTAACTACTATGAAATGTTATTTGTGAGGTGGGAGAGCCTGAAACCGAATTTCCCTCACAATAATTCTTTACGAGAACAACATCGATAACTGGTAACCTTTCAGACTAAAGAAATAGAAATTTGCATTCTCTCTTCTGATCTATTGAGAATATACATTAAGAAAGGTATTAAATGGACGGAATGGAGGAAACCCAACTGCGAGCAAAAAATACAAACTTGTGATACGCAGACGATACAACGTTGAAAGCAGCAACAGTTTGATGACTGGTTCAAGTGAGAGTGACATCTGAAGAATGATAGGAACGTCCAAGTCCAAAAGTGCAATGAGTAGATAATCTGAGATTTCAATCGACTGTTTTATTAAAAATTCGCTAAAATGATGCAAATTCTGGTTTTTTCGTGTTTCGATATGGGAGTGAAACCTGAACAATTAAAGCAGTGGACTTAAGAAGAATTGATGCATGAGCAGGGCACAGATCGAGCTAGTAAATCTTAAAAAAATTGAATATTCAGAATAAACTCTCATCCAGTTGCAGACATCCTGAGGTTTTTTGAATCTGAAGAGTTTGATGTTTTCAGAAAACGTAAAGAGACGAAGGTAAGAAGGGCGCTCACCAATCCTATGGCCTGATCAGATTTGAAAAATATAGAAACAATAAGTTCCATTGAAAAAGTGAATTATCACGATGCGCAGTAATGAGAGAACAACCACAGACACTGTTTAAACATTGGCAGCAAACTTTTTTTAAAATTGAATTACACGTTAGTATAAGAAATTGTATGTCGTTTTATAGATCTTTTTTCTTTCGCGTAGCACCATTACTTGATGGTTTTGCGCATTAGTATTAAAGTGTTTTTTTATAATTAATAGCAACTTTTTTTCAATTATTATAAAACTAAATACATTAAAAGTGTATATTTGAAAATACTTACTAATTGGATAAATAACTTCGTTAGACTTCAAACTACTAAAGTTACAATTTTATAAATAATACTTCTAAACTTTAAATATGTTGTTAGACATTTTTAAAGCCAAAAACCAAGTAATCATGACCAAAACTCAATATAAAAAAATCCAGTTCAAAGACCAAAAAAGTGTTTCGAAAAATGTGAGTAACGTGCTTTTTGAAATTTTGGACAATTTCTGTTGGAGACTGTCTTCTATATGCGAATTAAAAACGGATTTTAAACTCTGAAAAAATGTTGAAGCACTTCTTCAATTGGATGTTTGATGATTTCACTGATGAATGACCAGAAAATAACACTAAAATTAAACACCTTATATTTCATAAGAAAAATATGACAGTTAGCGCCAAATTCAGCTTCTTGCAGTCCTCACCGAAATGAATTAGATTGATTCATCGCTGCATATTAACCAATGACCTCACCTCGCATTCTTAGACCAGTAAGCTTACCTGATCATTAAGAGCTTTAATCAAATAAATTAGACTTTCAAAAATTTTAATACCCTCAAACAAACTTATTGATTCTTACATAAAAAAAATCGCACAGTTTTTCAAATTCAACCCTTAAAATAACCAAGAAAATCGAGTCAAATCACATAGATAACTGAGGTTGAGCACACACATGCACACATACTATTTGGTGGGCAGCAAGAAGGTCTACCAGATGAACGTCACAGAAAAGCAAGGTAAAGAAGGTAAACCATCGAATGGTTTATACCAAATGGAAGACAGTGCAACTGGTAGCGTTAAGGTAGAAAGTTGCAGTTGAGCAGCGCGAGTAAATGAACTGTTAAATTCCCATTTAAAAATAAAAAACGAACCTTTAACAACAAACACCGTGGATTAATTATTATTCGTTAATTAAATTAGTAACTTGTGAACAGTGGGTGTTACAGTGTGATGTCATTGATGATATAATGTGGCATTTAAGTTTATTTACGTTGGTGATCTCGATCGCTAATTGCTTCGCGCAAAATGGGTGAGTAAATTTTCAAAAAACGCATTTTGCTTAATGTGCTTTGATCCTTAAATTGCTCAAAGGAAAAACTTATTTTATTTCCGCAAAACCTGGCAAAGCGTTGAAAAAACCCGCGAATTAATTTAATTAAGCATTGTTTGAGCACAAAAAACAAAACCCAGTCATTGTCATCAAACATGTGAATATCGCTTTCCCTTTTGCAAAATGAAGGAGCGGGATGGTTCACTTTCTTTTCGCCAGATTAATTGCACTATTGAGCTCAATTCTTAGCAGTATTTATGCACATTTTCCAATACATTGAAAGCTGAATTTTTTCCACTTTTATATAAATGCAAAACTGTTTACAGTTGAAAATGTAACAGGATTATGAAATGCATGCGAATAAATCTCGAGCAAAACAATTCCGTTAGAAGAAACCGGCATTCCTATGTGAAAGTCCAATTATGCGGAATGTAACAACTGAACCCTGAAGTTTTTTTCAGTTTATGCAATAATTTATTGTTAATATGCAGAAATGCAGACATCTGATGTTTTAAGAGTCAGACTCATCAAACATTTGTTCAATATTCTCAATGAATAAGTGTGCAAATATTCGCGCAAATGATCGAGTTCCTTTTCCTGTCCATTTATGGAACGACTATAAGAGCTATTTGCGTTACTTCAGGTGCGCGAATAAATTGAAAACTGCTGGTTTGGGATATAAAATGATTTATCGAGAACGAAGAGTATTTCAAGCAACTAGACAAAACAGTTTTGATAATAATACTAGTTCTTGAATTGAAAAATATCCAAACAACCAAAAAAGTAAACATTTAAAATGGTTATTGATTCGAGATTTTGGAGAAATTGTGGCTTGAATTTTTAAATTGTTATTTCCACTTCGAATGTATACGAGTAGATAATAATAAACGTGTCTTTATAGTTCTTCACCTTTGAGAATAGAAGAATTCTGCAATTCAAGACACTTCAGGGTCTACCGACCAAATATTTATTTAAATTAGTGCGGGCTATGACACACAAAACAGCCCGATGTAAGTCCAACAGACTTTATCTCTTTAGCTACAAAGAACCATCTTTTAATGACTAATTATGTGTGTAGAAACTGCTGTATTTAAAATGAATCTAACACAATCGCAATTTTTTATGTTAATTTACTTGTGCGCTCATTTTCATTGAATCAGTACGGAAATGAAATTTGCAAACCTCGCATATTCAACAATTAACCGTCTAGTTCTTAAAGAAACCGAGTTCGCATCAAATTAATTTTCCATTCCACATGTGTGTAGGATTTGTAGGAACCAGGAAAAGTCGGCGATTCAAACATATCAATCACTAGATTGCAGGTTGAGCGTCAAATGTATCAGCGTAGGACTGAAGTTCGCTTAATTATGCAAAATTATGCAAGCAATGCTAGAATAGGATGATGGCCAAGAAAATATACTAATAAAAATGAAAGTTTATCCTTTTTTGTAGGCCTGAAATAATCGACCTGTGTGGGCCTGAAGAATTACGCAAATGGTTCCTGCTATCGAATTCATTTGAGATGAGTCTTAAATCGAACTAAATTGAAACTGATGAGTTTTGGGCGTTTAGGCCATTGAGCAAAGGGATTTCTTCCTAACGTTTCGCAAACAAGGGTGCTTTACATCCCCAGAGGTGTTTCGCTCGAGAGCTTGCAGTTGGCTGAAGTAGGGGTTCAGTCTAAAGGAGAATTTTTTTGGAAAGGACCAAGTCGCTTGTAGAAATCTTCAAAATTTCAATTTGCTGCCATAATCAGGAATTGCACAAAAATATTCATTGGAAAGAGCACAGTCACTTGTAAAAGTACTGGAAGTTTCAATTTGCCACCATCATCAGCGATTTGAGGAAAAAATTAGAAACTGGAAAATTTTTTACGCGTAAATATGTCAAAGATGTTTAAAAATTCGAATTTCTGGCACAAAATTGGCTCGAAACTTAAAGTGAATTTCATGAAAAAGAACACAGTCGTTCAAATAACGCTTCAACATTTCAATTCGCAATCAAAATTGCAAAATTGATATTTTTTTCAGAAGTTAAAGAAAAGTTTTTCAGGACAAAAACTAATAATTATCACTAATTGTGCTGGAAAGTTAAGGAAAAGAAAATTTCATTGGTATTAAACTAATATAGTTTGAATTAATCCTGAAAGATTTTTTTCAAAACTGGAAGATTTTCCTCAAGTAAATGTGTCGATCAATGTTTACAAATTATATCTCAAGCAGAAAAGTCGTTCAAAACTTGAAGAGATCTTCGTTTGTATAAATCTTCAAAATTAGCAAACTTGATAATTTCCGAAGGCGGTTATTTTTTCAAGACTTAACTCTTGATCGGACGGATTGAATAAAAATTCGGATAATAATCACTAATTAATTGTGTTGGAAATTTGAGAATAATTTCAATGGAATACAAAAAAATGTTTTGTATTAATCCTGGAAGTTTCAATGCGCCACCATCATCAGTGATTTTAGATATATTTTTCGAAACTGGAAAATTTTTCTCAAGTAAAGATGTCGATAGGTGTTTAAAAATTCGAATCTCAAGCACAAAATTAACTGGAAAATTAAGGAGAACCTGGCCAGAAAGAGCAAAGTCGTTTGTATAAATCTCCAAATTTCAATTTGCCACCATCATCAGACATTTCGGAAGAAATGTTCAAACCCGTTCAGGAGTTGTTGATCGGACGGATCAAGAAACATGCGAATGAATAATCACTGATTGTGCTGGAAATTTGAGCAAGTTGAGATGTTAATCAATGTATAAAAAATCGTATCTCGCACAAATTTTACTCGAAATTTCAAGAAAACTTTATTGGAAAGGGCTTCGAAGTCGCTTGCAAACATACTGAAATTTTCAATCTGGCAGCATCATCAGGAATTTTAGGAAAAAAATTCGAAACTGGTTAATTTGTTGCAAGTAAAAATGTCAATCTGTTTAAAAATTCGTAGCTCAAGCAGAAAATTAGCTCGAAATTTGAGGAGAATTTAATTAGAAAGAGCAAAGTCGCATCGATTAAAAGGGCCAAAAAGCCATTAAAGTATATGTAGCTTCATGTATGTTTCCATCGGAGGCGCTGTTTTTCTCTTGTAGAAGCGATTCACCGCCAATTAAAATAGCCGAAAGCGCATTAAAACTACTTTTTCTATGGATTTTCTCAAAATAATTTCTTGTCGTTCCTTGCTTTCACGTATTATACACTTTATCAATTCCGATGCATTTTGCACTTACTTTCTAGTTGCATTAGTAACTCTAATTTGGTTTTTTACCCTTTATTCATTCATCTTATTCCTTGCTTATGCCCCTTTAAAATAATTGTGCCAAATGGAATCTAAATCATTAAAAGTTCTACAGCTCGTTCAAAGGAGAATAGTTTGGACCACATTTGCAGAAAACTTCAACTTTTGCTGTTATTGAAAGCGATAAATTTAATTATTTTACAAATAACTACATACAAATTGTTTATTGCAGGTACTATAATGTGATTGGTACTAGAATCATTCGACCCAACAGCGAGTACCATGCAGCAATTAGCATGCACGCTACTTCAGAACCAACTACAATCACGGCCACTTTAGAAGGACAATCATTCACGGGAACTCCATTTTTAGTGCAATTTAAAGATGTGATACAACCTTACTCTAGTGTAGTAGCTCGATTCGAGGTAACAAAACATTGTGACTTATTTCAATTTATAAGTATTGATCGTTTAAAAATACGAATGCAATGAGTTAATATCTGAAGAGATTGCTTTAAATGGCGTATTTTGCTTATAAGCATCCTAAATTCAGGTTGATTGGCTAACTATTTTCTAAAAGAACATTCTAGGGTAACTTTTTAGCACAATTTTAAAATGCATAGTTTTTATCATTAATTTGCATTGTTTTTCTAGTAAATTCTTAGGACTAGGTAAACCGGTTGCAGAACCGTTCAAGTTAAAAAAAACAATTTATTTAAATCGGGTGCAAAATTTGTTTCGTTATGCGAAATTAGAGTATTAGAAAAATTGTATCTCGGCTTGCTCTGGTCAACGATTTTTGCCTAAAAGTATACGGAAATGAATGTTTTGAAATAGAAAACTAACCAATTATAAGTCAAATAATACTCAACAACAACGATATTTAATTCAATTTATATGAAAATTAATTAGAAAATGTCTTGTTTCAAAAACAAACGCTTTGCGTCGTATATTTATTTAATTTATATGGGTTTTGGTATTAATTTTAATTTTAACTTCCATATACTATTAAAGAACCGCCCTTCATGCGGAAATTTCAATATGAAACCAGGACAAACAACGAAAATATATGGTGTGGCTTGAAATGAAACAAAACGCAATAAATGTGTTTGAAACGCAATGAAAATAAATAAAATTAAGGAAAGATAATGGAAACGAAATCGGACAGTTATGCGTTCATATGCAATAGAAATCTAAAGATAACAATTAAAGGAAAAATCCTCACTGAAAAACACACTTCTAAAATAAATTTCATAAATTACGTGAATAAAGCAATGCGAAGATATGTATCATACCAAATCATGTACAAGACTCCTTAAAACGCCCTGTGTATAGAGGCGCAAATGATTTAAATCCAGCCAAAACAAACATAAGAGTACTAATAAATTAAAACATTTTTTTTTAAAGTGTAGGAAAGTGCTCAACATCAAATTACCAATACTCGTTCGTTCGCAAAGCAAACACTCCCATGGCACCTATTAGACAGAATAATGCTTGAAACACAAAACTAACTTCCTGTGCTCCTACAACACTTTAAATTAACTTTTGCCAAAGTCTATTCTTCATGTCACTGACCTCCTGTATTGGACTCATTTAGTTTCATTTGCTTTTGTTATCTGGCATTTTCTCATTATCTTTTTTATGTGGTCAAACAGTTACTCACCTAAGTAGGTTACTCTGTATAGTGTCGCTTCGTTATGCCTAAGCACGTACAGAGTACCCAAAGATTTTTTTTGGAACCTTAAAAAATCGCGTTTTCCCACGAGATTTAAGTTGCCACAGAACAAAAACACGCACAAATATTCCAGGTTGGTGATATTGAAGACGGCGCCTACAAGCTCCAAGTAACTGGCAATGGAGGCCAGGAGTTTCGTTCAGAATTCGCACTTGAATATGTAAAGAAAAGCTACTCTGTTTACATCCAAACTGATCGAGCAGTCTATCAACCGGGCTCCACTATTCTGTTCAGAGCCATTCTTCTAAACCCTGCATTGAAACCTGCTGCTGAAGTTCGTGACGAACTTCTCCATATCCATATTGAGGTAAGAACCTGCAGAATTTCACACAAAGTTGCTATATCCGAATGCCCCAGGATGGGCAAGGAAACCGAGTGAAGGAATGGAAAAATATCGTAGCTCTCAAGGGGGTGTTCTCAGATGAACTGAAACTGAGCGAAAGCCCAGTGCTGGGCAACTGGAACATTTCCGTTACTGTCCATGGACAAACCTACAGTAAATCGGTTGAAGTTGCCCAATATATTCTACCAAAGTTCGTGGTCGATGTTAAGGTTCCCAAACACATTACTTTTAGAGACAACACCCTGTCTATAGCAGTCGATACTAGGTAAGTGTGAACACACAACTGGACATCAATTCTTCAGATCAAAAATCTGGATGATTAATTTAGATACAGCTATGGAAAGAAAGTGGTAGGAGAAGCCACAGTAACAGCCTATCCAACAATTTACTCGGGAGTCATCCAGCCAATCTACCAGACTCCGATTAGAAAAGTGGTGAAAATCGATGGATCCAGTTTGGTTGAGTTCGACATAGAGAAAGACTTGAGACTGAACGATGAATACGAAAGAGTAGTGATAGTTGATGTTACTATTGAGGAGGCTCATACGGGAAGAAGGCAGAATAACAGCGCACAAGTCCATATCCATAAGTACAAGTACAAAATGGATTTGATTAAAACTGCAGACTATTTCAAGCCAGGGCTCAGCTATGTTGCCTATGTAAGTAGAAGATGTTCACACCAACCGGAGTTTTACCGCTTTTTCTTGTTAGATCAAAGTTGCTAATCACGATGGAACCCCATTGAGAAACGAAGAAAGAGACGTGGTAGTTCGGCATGGTTATTCCAGACAAGATGAAGTATATGACGAAAAAACTCATCGCTTGGACAAAAATGGGGTTTTGAAGCTGGAATACAACACTCCAATAGATGTTACCAATGCAACAGCATTACGGATTGAAGTCCGTCTCCAGCTTGTCTGCTAAACTAAGACTAATTATTTTTTTCGCTATTTGCAGGCTGAATATAAAGATCTCAAGGAGCGCATTTCTCCAATTCCGGCAGCAGTGTCTTATGGAAATACTTTCCTACAAGCTAGTCTGGAAACGGAAAAACCCATTGTTAATTTAGACGTGGATATTCTGGTCAATTGCACTGAACCAATGAGATATATTAATTATGTTCTTCTAGCTAGAGGTAAAGGGTAAAAATAGTGCATTTTTGCGAATCCGCGCATAGTTTTTGGCTCATTCTAAGAAAACCGTTAAGGTAACAGACCTTCAGTTGTTGCAACCGAATAAAGCATTGAAATGCGTATTTTTTCGTATAAAACGTCGTTTTCAAAATATTTTAAAGAATTTCAGGAAATGCAAAAGTGGAAAATTTGTGTAGTTTCAAAACCGCGCATAACTATTGGCTCACTCTCAGAAAACCGTTAAAGTAACAGACCTTCAGTTGTTACTATCGCATAAAGCATTGAAATGCGCCTTCGTATAAAACGTCCATTTCACAATGGTTTTAATAATTTCTGAAAATGGAAAACTGTAATAATTGTGCATTTTTTTCAAAACGGCGCTTAACTATTGGCTCATTCACAGAAAACAGTTAAAGTAACAAACCTTCAGTTGTTACTACCGAATAAAGCAGTGAAGAGGGTCGTTTTTCATATCAAACGTCGTTTTCAGAAAGTTTCTAATAATTTCAGGAAATGCAACAGTGCAAAAATAGAACATTTTTTAAAACCGCGCTTTGCTTTCGGATCATTCTTAGAAAACCGTTAGGGTAACAGACCTTCAGTTCTTACTACCGAATAGAGCATTAAAGTGCGTCTTTTTTCGCACAAAACGTCATTTTCAAAATTTTTTAAATAATTTCAGGAAATGCAAAAATAACACATTTTTTCAAAACCGCGTTTAACTATTAACTCATTCTCCGTAAACCGTTAAAGTAACAGACTTCAATTGTTACTACCGAATAGAGCATTGAAGTGGGTCGTTTTTCATGTATAACGTCGTTTTATCAAAGTTTCTAATTATTCCAAGAAATGTAAAAGTGCAAAAATAGTGCATTTTTTGAAACGGGGCTTAATTATTGGTTTATTCTGAGAAAACCGTTAGAGTAACAGAGCTTCGGTTGTTACTGCCAAATAGAGCATTGAAGTGGATCGTTTTTCATGTAAAACGTAGTTTAATAAAAGTTTCTAATTCTCCCAGGAAATGTAGAAGTGCAAAAATAATGCATTTTTTCAAAAT